TGCGATGTGACAGAAGCAACAATAAACCCGGCCTCAACAATGTAGAAGGAGATCCAGCCCCTGAGAGTTGTCCTCCGATCTCCACATAGGCACCGTGGTATGTATTCACTATGTCCCATCTCGTTCCTACACACACATGAAAAAGCAAATAAAGTAGAAGCACTTGGTTTACTGTTTCAATTAGATAATTCACTCACTGACTGTGTTTCATTTCACAAAGCCCGGTCTGCTGAGACCTGCCTGGGTATGGCAGGGTAGTACCGGTGGTGGTGCTGATGTTGGTGATGGTGATGATGATGGTGGTGATAGATGTGGTGATAGTGATAATAGCAGTGGTGCTGGTGGTGCTGGTGGTGCTGGGGAAACGCTGTGGACTTGTCGGGAGGCGAGATCATCTTTGAGAGAGAGAGTGAGCACAGCGAAGTGTGAGCTGTGAATTTACTACAGCCTCTAGGGGAGGAACTGCCGCCCTGGGACTCATTTCACCGTGTGTTTCTTCTGTCTCTATCAGGTAATTAGCATGTTTTGTTTCCTGTGTGTCCCACCCCTGTCTGTCAGACGAGGAGGAAAGAACAAATGTTTGCAAGCACAGGACCGGTAAACTGATGGCTTTAACTAACTTTTCTATCTCGCTTAAGACCCTGTTTTCATAAAGTGATTAGGCTGGTCAACGCAGTCCATCTATTAAACTAGTTCTTTGGTATCACAGGTTAAGCTACGTTTGCATAAGCAGGTTACTAAACAAAAGTTAGTTTACTCATTCAAATTCACCCAGGGGACTTTCAAAGGTAAAATACCAATGTATTAAAGGGCTGTGTATGTGCTGATGATTCCAGCTACAAAAAAAAACCACCCGCTACAGTCCCAGGGCTTAACGTGTTCATGACGTGGCTCTTCGTAGGATTGCTCGGCTCATGAGTCTCTGGAGTAGAAAAATTGGACAGAGTGCAATGGAACTTTTGTATGGGATGGTGGCCTTTCTGTGACTTGAAATGACAAAATGCTGCCCCGAAAAGGGGGGGAGGGGATTCTGTATTTTCAGGAATTGCTGACGATCTTTGAATAAGTGAGCTCATAAACGAATTTCCTATCAAGGAAGAACTCTGCCTCCCATAGGCTGGGTGAAAGGCATACAAAGATTAAAAGGACTAGTTTGCTCCTGTGGTGCCTGCCTCTGCATTTCGCAATTGGCAGACAATAATCCATGGGGGAACTTGAACCCCCATCCCCACCCTGAGTCCCCTGCACTGCCTCTCCCTCTCACTGGGGAGACCCATGGTCCCAGCCTGTGCGGGTTATGGATCCCTGGATACAAACAGGGAAAGGTGAACCCCAGGGATCCCCTCCTCTCTCTCGGGTATCTTCCTGCTTTATGACTTTGCATAGAATCACTCACAGTGCCGTCAGCTTCAGGCTGGAAACCAGATGTGAGGACAGCATGCAGGCAGAAGCCGGAGCAAGCTGCTTGCTGGAGTGAAAGTCTCTCCTGTTGAGACACTTACATCAACTTGGCGACATGCTGTCAAAAACAGTGAGTAGGGCTTGGATCTCAGATTTCTTCTGAAACTTGTCTTTCTCTCATTACTCTGCATCAACATGCTGAATGAACAGTCTTATCTCATGTCTTCCTTGCAGATGAGCCCATGAAGCAAAGCATAGACAATCATGATTCTGCCCTTACAGATTTTTTTTTTTTTGAACTGAGGACCAAGCCCAGAGCCTTGTGCTTGGCTGGCTCTACCAATGAGCTAAATCCCCAACCCCTCTTACAGGATTAGACTCACTAATGCCTGATGCCAGGAGGTGAATTAACCAGTTCAAAGACTAGGCAATAAAACCAAATACACCCTATCACTTGAATATATTTCAGCTAGTCAACCAAAAAAAAAAAAAACAAAACAAAACAAAAAAACAAAAAAGCAAAAACAAAATATATGCTAGAAGAAATACATTTTAAAGTATACATTAGGTAAAGTGATAGACAAGAAAATTATAGTCATACCAAATGGAATGTGTAAAATATACATGTTATCAATGTCTCATGAAGGGTTCTCTGAACAACAATGAGTTAATTGGAGGAGAGCACTTCACAGAAAATAATTTATATCAAATTAGAAAAAAAAGATGAACAAAGATATTCCAAGGGTGAGAAAAGATAAGGAGAAAAAAAAAAAACTGCCTGTAGGCAGGTAACAAAAAACCACGTGAACATACACAGTAACAACAACAACAAAAAGGCTGTGTGACTCTGTAATTGTGGCTGAGCAGTGGGTATTAACTGCTAAATCAGCGGTGTTTGTTTGAGATGGGGCAGTCGGGTGCAGAAACCCCTTGCTGGATGCAGCATCTTAGACCACGAGGCCATCCTGACCTCCTGCAGGAATCCATTTCTGTAGCTGCCACAGGGCTGTTTCCAAGAACAGAAGCCACATGCAACCTCTTTGATTTTGTATGCACAAAGAAAAACTGTGGTTCCCACCATTTAGCCCAAATAAACAGGTGAGCAGAACTTCTGGCACCAATTAGCTTTGTTCTAAGTCAGATGTGCTTGAAATTGTTCATTGTCCATCTGGTATGTGTGTCCTGAAGACCAAAGAAAGGGATAAGTAATAAGCCAATCTCTTCTACTCAAAGGTTACATGGTGTAAAACTATAAGTCAAAGTTAGAGACACTATGTATATTCAAGTAGAGAAGACAGGTGTGTGTGTGTGTGTGTGTGTGTGTGTAGATGTCCTGAGAGATTCGAAGCTCTTTTGCAGGTCCTTGATCTTATAGAGAAAGGGATTTGAAAAAGTGACTCAAGGAAACTGGAGGACAATTTTCATCAGGATTTGTGAGATAAAACCACAAGCAGGGCTGCGGAGCTAGGTAAGTGCCCAGAGGAGGAAGATAGAGAGAAATGAGTGTTTTTGAGTTAGCAGCCAAACAAGCAGGCAAGCTTCTCAATTGAAATCTAGAGCAGCTATTTGGGGGAAGAAGGTGTGCCATGAGAGAGGGACAGAGGGAAGGAAAAGGGAGGAAAAGAGAGAGAGAAGGAAAGAGAGTCCGGGCAGTCAGGCCTGATTTTTAATGGTGTCTAGAAAGAGAAAAATAAAAAGTTACATTTTCTTAGCTCAGAGACCAGTCAGGCTTAGGAGTGAGTGAGTATCTGCAGGCAGCTGGATCTGGGGTCATGTTCCTGGGGTCTGCCAGTGCTTATCATGATGGCAACGGTCACTCTTTCCAGTTTCCTACTGCATCTTCTGGGACAGCATGTCTCTTTACATCTTCTGGTTTCAGGCTGGTCTTCTTTAGATGGAAAACCAGGCTTTTCCCCCCTTATTGGAGGGTTTCTCCTGCTTAGTCTAGACAGAGAAAGCACCGACTGTCTAAGTCCCAAGGGTGTTATCAGCCAAAAACAATCCATTTGTAAAGGGGGACCTGCAGTCAGCCACGCTCTTTCTCTCAGAGGAAGCTGTGATAGTCATGTCTCAAGGGATGCTGGAAAACAGATGTTGCAGAGAATCCTTTCATTCTTTCCCTCTATCCCCTGTATCCCTGCCAGGAACAGACTGAGTTAACAGAGACACTGTGGTGAGACAGACACTGGCAGAGTGTGAATTGCCAGCCTATTCTCTGTCATTCACTGTGACTGGCTTCTCTGTAAACAGGACAGTTTTGTGTCTTGTAGGCCCCCCTTTTTTTGTTTAATATTAGTCATAAGAAGCTTATCTAAAATCTTAGTTTAAGATGAAGCCTCAATACTCCTTAGTTCATTCAGAAAATCAATAACAGCTCCTTAAGCTCTGCGAGACTTCAATGTGTTTTGTTGCTGGAATTACACTACTACCTAGGGAAGATGCCCATTCTTTTTATTGTTGTTGTTTTTTGAGACAGGATTTCTCTGGCTGTCCCGGACTCACTTTGTAGACCAGGCTGGCCTCAAACCCAGAGATCTGCCTGCCTCTGCCTCCTGAGTGCTGGGATTAAAGGTGTGCACCACCATGCCTTGCTCCTCCCCCTCCTTCATTAATGTAAGCATTTTTTTAATGTGTGAGTGCTCTGTTTGCATGTACACCTGCATGCCCGAAGAGGGCATCAGATGTGGTTACAGGTATAGGAGTTACGGGAAGCATGTAGGATTTTCTATTGAAAAACAAAACAAACTGTGCCCTTGAAGCTAACTGGAGTAACACATGCCTGCAATCCCAGTGTGCAGGAGGCTGAGGCAGGAGCATCATGAGTTTTAGGCAAAACTAGGCTACATAGTGTTAAGGAAGGAAAAACTGGTTTGTTCTGCCAAGTTAAGTGAACCCCAAACAATCTTCGAGTATCTGCATAAGCAAGTTTCAGAAGCCAAAACAGCAGCTAATCATATCATAACAAGCAATTAGTCACGGCTGTACATTTTTGAGTGGGGGTCACTGAGTCAGGATTACTGGGAACTTATCTTCCAGGGACCTCAGTCAAAGACAAATAGCTAGTGGGCACCAAGATGGCTGGCTGGCATGGAATGGAGTTTCTTTAACAATCACAATAACGATCACAGAAACACCTTGTTCTGATGAGTTAAAACTTTATTTCCTCAAAAATGTGTTTTTATATTCAAAAGCTATGGCAGGGTCAGGTAGTTTAACATGAATTTGAAGCCAGCCTTGACTACATAGTATGCTCCTGTACAACCTGAGGCTTTGCCCAAAATACGTATGCAGAACCCTTATTTCAGAAGATGGTACAAGGATATTGTTTACAGGTTTAGTCTGTTCTTTTTCCTCTCTAAAATGTTTTTATTTTAATTTGGACCAATTCATGTAAAACTTATTTTCAGTTTGTTTGTCTGTTTGTTTGACAGGATTTCTGATTGTCAAGTTAGAAATGTTTTATCCACTTCTATAAGCAACCCAGTAAGCTCTGTACAGATGGACCATTTTCATTCAAACTTTAAGTATCATTAGTAATACTAATTTTATTTATTTACCTCTGTATTTATTATTTCCCATCTTCCTCAGGTGCAGCAGAGATGGACGCGGCCAACGACAGCACCTTCGGCCATTTCATCCTCGTGGGCTTCTCTGCCCGGCCCCAGCTGGAGAGGGTCCTCTTCGCGGTCCTCCTGCCCGCCTACCTCCTGACCCTGCTGGGCAACGGCACCATCATCCTGGTGTCCAGGCTGGACCCGCACCTGCGCACCCCCATGTACTTCTTCCTCACGCACCTGTCCTTCCTGGACCTCAGCTTCACCAGCAGCTCCATCCCACAGCTGCTCTACAACCTGAGCGGGCAGGACAAGACCATCAGCTCTGTGGGCTGTGCTGTGCAGCTGGTGCTGTTCCTGGGCCTGGGCGGTGTGGAGTGCCTCCTGCTGGCCGTCATGGCGTATGACCGCTTTGTGGCGGTCTGCAAGCCCCTGCACTACATGGTGGTCGTGAGCCCCAGGCTCTGCATGATTTTAGTGTCTCTTGCGTGGGGCTGTGGTGTGGCCAACTCTTTGATTATGTCCCCAACGAACCTGTGGTTACCCCGCTGTGGGTACCGCAGGGTGGACCACTTTCTCTGCGAGATGCCAGCCCTCATCGGGATGGCCTGTGTCAACACAGCCATCGTCGAAGGCATTGCCTTCATCCTGGCAATAGGCATCGTGCTGTCCCCGCTGGTGTTCATCTTGGTTTATTTCTCTATCGTGAGGGCCGTGCTAAGCATGCAGTCATCCTCAGGAAGGCACAAAGTCTTCAACACCTGTGGCTTGCACCTCACCGTGGTCTCGCTTTTCTACAGAAACATCATCTATGTACATGCAGCCGGGAAACAGCTCCTCCCAGGACCAGGGCAAGTTCCTCACCCTCTGCTACAACATGATCACCCCTCTCCTCAACCCTCTGATCTACACGCTCAGGAACAAGGAGGTGAAGGGGGCACTCAGGAGGCTGATTTGGAGAAATGTAAGTTTGAGAAAGAAATTATAATCAAGTCTCGGGACCTCCCAAGATGTTAAAACCTTACAAAGTTTGGAATGGCTAATTGTGTTTGGGTACCACTAGCACCTGTCTGAATTGGGGCAGAATTCATTACGGATGTTTGGTCCGTTTTGTTTTCTTACGTGGGAATTGTTTAGGAGTGTGTGAGTTTTTATATTCTGAAGCAGTACGTATTGAGGTCGGGTCAATGCTCAGACGCCAACCTGTACTGCTGAGGAGGGTTAGGAACAAGGACCAGGCTGTGTTGTTAAGTCGATCTGGGAAGAAGACTGAGTAACTGACTGAGAAAAGATGGGATTCCCTTAACACCGACGTTCTGGGCATTTAGCCTTCTCCTATAACACGGTGTTTCATTTGAGGTGTATAATCCTGGCAAGAGGCTGCCAACATGGACCAAGAGCCTTCACTCAAACTTTCATTTTTGTTCTGTTTTGTTTTTCTTCAAGACAGGGTTTCTCTGTGTAGCCTTGGCTGTCCTCTACTCACTTTGTAGACCAGGCTGGCCTCGAACTCCACCCGCCTGTGCCTCCCTGAGGTGTGCACCACCATGCCTGGCTTTCACTCAACGTTTATCGTACTCTAGCCTGCTGTGCCTATTATACTTTCATACCTATGTCCTCATGCAACAGCATTGTGGAAGGACCTTTAATTTTTTTAATTACAGTTGTTTATTTGCTGAGGGTGCACACCCATGGCTCATGTGTGGAGGTCAGAAGACAACTTAAGACAACCCTCAATTTCCATGTGGGTCCTGGGAATTGAACTCAGATATCACAAATGGCCACAAGCATTTTACTTTCAGCGCCATCTCACCAGATCATTGGCGAGACCTTTCTGTTCCCGGAAATGCTTCCAATGCAGAATCAAACATCCCGTCAAACCTAGTCACCGAATCCTTGAAATGTAGCCACTGCTTGTGTGTGCTGGTGACTGAGTGCTGAAGATAAAGCTGCCCTTCAACAATCCATGGCAAATAAAGAGACATGAAAGGGGATAACCACGGAAGAGGGAGGGCTAGAACACAGCTTTTAGGCGGCACTTCATCTGTGTGATAAAAAGAGAGGCTCTCGACATCTCTCCTGCACCAGGGAAGTTCATGTTTCTTCTTGTCAGAATGATCTTGGATGCTTTTGAAGTGGGGGAATACAGGAGTGCCGTGAGAGAGGGCAAACTGCCAGGCAGGAGGGCCTCATGTGCAGGGCCAGAGAGTAGGGTCTCTGAGTACAAACACAGGACATTAAAAAGAGAAATAAGTTCAATAACCTGCCTCACAGTTTTCCAGAGCTCTTCCTTCTGCTGTGAGTGGATGCAATGGATGCTACAGGTCGAAGGTTACACATACAGAGTTAACTCGGAAAGGGAGAGAAAAGAAGAGCAGGGGCTGTGAGGGGTAAGCTCAATACGCAGTATTTACTCAGACAGTCGCTCTGGGCATAAAGAAAATGATGTAAGAGATGTGAGAGGGTATTTGCATTCGTGGAGACTGCACCTGGCTTTCTCGGCTGCTTCTCTTTCCTTTCTACATTGTAGGAACAGGGTCACAAGCTGAAGTGCGGGGAGAAGCAGAATCATGAGCTGGGTAGATTGGGGCTTTGAAGAGTGGGAGTCCAACGTCTTTTTCACTGAGAGCAAAAACTTTTGGTTTTGTTTGGTTTTTCTTTTTTGGCTACTTTTCTCCTTCCTCTCAATGTTTGGCGAGATGCACTCATAAGGAAACCTTTCAACGTGCTTCACAAATTTCTCTCTAGAGGTTGAACAGTGAAGCCTTTGGGGGCCTTACATTTACAAATGCGTGTGTCTGAACACAAAATGTATCTCTATTTATGATTTGGAAAAAGGAGGTTGTGTAGGTGTAGTTTGCAAACCACATAGCAACAGCAGGGGACTCGGCATCCTAGATTCCCCAGATGTTTGTGATGAAGGTTCACGCAGATAGACTTGACTCAGTCAGTAGAGGGCTCGCCCAGCATGCACAGACCTAATGTGGAGAGAAATGCCTGTTGTCCAATCACTGGAGAGGTGGAGGCAGGAGGTCAAAACTGGCTACATAATGAGTTCAAAACCAGCACAGGACACATGAGACCCTGTCTCAAAGAGAAAAAGAGGAAGGGAGAATGGAGAGTTAGCTCAGCAGTTGAGAATGCTTACTGCTCTTGCAGAAGACCTGGGTTCAATCCCTAGCACCCATATGGTGGTTCACAGTGGTTTGCAACTCCAGTCCCAAAGGAATTTGATGCCCTCCTCTGGCCTCTGCAGGCATAAGACACAAAAGTGATACACAGACACATGCAGGCAAAGTAGCCTTGCCTATACATTAAAAATATATATATATACATATTTTAGAAGGTACCTGCATGTATAACTTCTGGCACCATCATGGAGAAACAGGTCCAGAAGAGCATCAGCTGATGCCAGTCTGTGCTACAAGGCAGCAAGTTATATGTGTGTTTATGTTTAGCTTTTAAAAATCAAGCCCATAGATATCTCATTTTGTTTGGTTCAGTGTTTATTTACTTATGCGTTCATTTGTTTTGGGTCAGAATCTCACGTAGCCTAAGATAGCCTCAAACCCACTATGTAGTGGAGGATGGCCCTGACCACCTTATCTTCTCAAGTCACCTCCTACCATCACCTGTATACCTTATAGGTGTGTGTCATCACGCTTGGCTGAAAGCACAGTCTCTTTTAGTATTGCAAATAATTACGAACTTTTCAAAAAGAGGAGCCTCAGCTCTTGTGGCAGCCATTGTGCATCGGGAGGTGACACCATCTGACAGTTCTGTGCTGAGTTCTCACCTCCTCAGAATAAATTCATTATTGTGAATAACATTCACTTCCCTGTAACAGTCCTCATGAAATTATAAAGCCATCAAGGGTATTTAAAGCATAAGGAGATGTGGTTCAGCAGTTAAGGGCACCAGCCGCTCTCTCAGAGGACCCACATTCAATTCCCAGCACCTTTATGGCAACTCATTATCATGCATGGAATCTGATACACTCTTCTGGTCTCTTCAGGTGCCAAGAATGTACATGGTACATGGAAGCAGAACACCCATAAACATACAATAAATGAATAAATAAACAAACTATAAAATACCTCTAGTAGGTGATACAACCTCCCAGAACATATTATATATCTACAAAACTGAATGAACTTGGTATTCATGGCAAACAGAGTATTACAATTATTTTATTGCCCTGAAATCCAGCTACACTTGGAACCTTTGTGTGTAACTAACAGTTTTCCTGGACAAGACCGTTCATTGCTTAGCATAGAAATGATGACGCAGATAACTATTTATATAGATAAAGATTACACCTTAGTTATTGGATGAACTTGGAATTTTAATTTAAACACAAAAGGAAAAGAACCAGTAGTAAAATTAAAAGGAAATATAAAATAAGAAAAGAGGAGTGAAAAAGATTTTCTAAGGCTACCTATGGGAGTGAAATTTGCATAAATCCAAACATCAAACGAATTGTGGTGGTAGCACTATGATTGTAATGGGTCATTAGTTAATAAGGTTAAAAAAAAAAAAAAACATTGAATGTGGGGAAAAGAAACATAAAATCCAGGACCAGTAGGTAAGAGATGCCATAAATACACATCTAATAAGAATGTGTAAGCAACATAAAGATACAAGAAAAGGCTTTGTTGTTAGGTTGTACAAAATATCATTTCAAGGTTAATGAAGCCCACTTTTCACTTGTTAATCTACAGGTAAATAGCAATTGGAATATAGAGAAAGAATGATAATCACTTTTCTTGAATGTACTATTGTCCATCTAAAAAGTTATCAAGAAAAACGTTTCATAGAAAAAGGTATCAGTACAAAAAAATGGTTCAGTGGAACCCGTAAAGAGTAGAATTGAGTGGGTCAAATTTTTACAGTTAACCCAGTAAATATTATCAAAGGCTAAATTTAAAGTAAAGCTTCTTTTTAGAAGCATAATATTGTCTCCAGGTAAAAAGAAAAAAAACATAATTTGTATTAATAGACTAAAAATTAAACATGTTACCTATGCAAACTGGGAATAAATTTGGAATAATTTATTTCAAAGATCCAGTTTTTACAATGTTCTTATGATGTTACTACTTACTGAGAAATAGTACGAAATTTAGTATCCAGTCAATATTATAACAGTTTCATTCATTTTTTTTCTCTTCTAATTAAAACTCTAACTTCTTTAGATTATCAAAACCATGTTTTTGCAGCAGGAAAAGATTGCACCTTGAATGATCCGACTCCTTCTCCACGCTCAGGCACGGTGAACTAGCTTTGATTCCAGCATCAAACGGACCTGGGAGTTTTCATAAACATGATTTGCTTACATCAGTGATCATGCTGAACATTTGAATGTGGCCTTCAGAAATACGTGACACAAGCCAAGTCCTTGAAACTTCACATTTATGATGTTTCTAATATCTACACATTGAAGCTTATCCCTTCTGCTTCTAATGCAGATGAGCCTGTTAAGCATATAATGAAGAGATTTTTTTAACTTATCAGCTTCAGTTATGACTTGAAAATATGTTTTGAATACTTATTCTTCTTTAAAAATTCTACTATGCAGTGCAAACAGGGGTTCTAATAAATGGTATCTCTCTTGTACATTGTGTGCTTATTTAATTGTGGACAAGAGACCAGGTTTTCCCAGAAGAATTTTGAAAAAAATGCCACATAGGTCCAATCTTCCACAGGCAGCCAGAGCATCTAAGACCTTAAAAGTCTTCCATTCACGCTAAAATGACATTTCTTTCTCACTTAAGTCGTTAATGTTAAGTGAGGTTTATTTTCTGAGGCAAAAAAAAGAAGCAAAAAACAAAAAACCAGTTACCTTACAAATTCACTATGAGCTAACAGTTTCCAAACTGTGCTTGGAATTATGGGTTTTAGAAACCAGAGTTTCTTTTTTGACACACAGATTAAATAGCTTGATTCACTGGATATCAACATTTTGCGATTAAAAGTTAATCAAGGAGGCATAGCTTTGACTTTCTACCTATTATCCCTGGGTGCCTTATTTTTCTGTATATTTTTGGGCAGGCTCATTTTCCATTCTTACTTAGGATTCCAACCTTGAGGAGAAATCCTGGGGAACTAAGGTACACACCTCTAACATACAGTTGCTTGTGCTGCAGTTAAAATTATGTTAGACTTAAATTTATAAGAAGCCAGGCGGTCCTCACGTTAAAAAGCTCAGCTTGATGGAAGATGGAATTCTGGCTTGGTCCCAGCACATCCCTTGAGCTGACAACGGAGCCTTGCAGACAATGAGTTCCTGCAGTAAAGCAGACACCCCCGATGAACTTGCTATCCATCTTGCTGAGAAGATCCTACAGCAGTGCTCTCTCTGGGTGAAGGTATGCATCGTTATACTTGTTCGTCCATCCTCTCGAATTGATTCAACCCCTAGATAGATGCACACTCCAGGTATTGCCTTAAAAACGTCTGCAGTGTCAGGGTGTGTGAACGTTTGTCCTTTGATGTTCTGGAGCGTGTAAGCCTTCTCACAAGAAGAAAGGGGCTCCCGGTGTGAGGGGACAAGTTTGACATAAAATATGTCATTTCTCAGCAGATTTGGAATATTTTCTGATTTCAAATTTAATTATGGTTTAATTTATTAATTACAGAGATGCAGTGTGATGATTTAATACATGTATATAGTGTATAAGGATAAACATCAGGCTAGTTGACATTTTTCACATTGATTCTAAATGACCCTTACACAGACCTTCATCTGACAAAAGAGGTGGCTGTGACATGGATCCAACAGGAATGGGGAGCCCAGGTGTACCCCCTGCTCTGAGCTGTCTCAGCACATCCTGTCCTCCAAAGGGAAATAGCCATTTCTAAAATAAGTTGTGTTTGAGATAACCTGGGAGGTTTCCAGCACCAGGGCTGCTGCTGCTGCTGCTGCCACCACAGACTGAGTTTTATCTTTAGAGGTGGAGAAACCTGACTCGGTGATTTCCAGGATATTGAACAAAGACAGAAATTCTGCTGTAAATGTAATGAAGAGAAAGGAAAATGTGCCCTTTCCAATCTCAGAGTATTTAAAAACGGCATTAACATATGTAAGGATTAAATGGTCACTGACAATGCTTCTAATGATGAGAAGCCAGGACAGGGCTGGTCTTGGGGGTCCAGCCCCTGTCCCAGCACTCAGGAGGGTCAGGAAAGGATTGAAGTTGAGGACACCCCTGGGATACTGAGCAAGATGTGTGACACCTTTCCTCAAAATCCAGTGGCTAGGGCTGTAGCTCAGAGGCACAGTATTTGCCTAGGGCAGGTATTTGATCCCAGTAAAGCACACACACACACACACACACACACACACACACACACACTCACCCACGATAGAAATCAGCATGGAACTCCACACTTTTAACAATGACTCCTGCCAGGGTCTTGATAAGCTCTGACACCCAGGGCAATTTCTGAGCAAAGTGAAACTGGGGACAGGCTAGCATTTCACTGTCTCGGGGAACAGTGGAAAGATGTGGGTTAACTGAAGTCTTTATATAAAAAGTAATAACCGTTTCCTACATTGCTCTATTAATTCCTGCTTAATTCTCTTTCATAATTCATATTTTAGGAACCTGAAAAATGTTGTGCAGTCTTCTGTTGCTTTAAAGCAGTCTCCTTGCTTTTGTCAACAGATGGCTAATCGATGTATGATGCAGTAAAATGCTTAATATAATTTCACATGATGTTTTCTTGCATTATGCAATCCTATTGTAGCCATACTACAGCTTCTTAATTTTCACATTGCATCATGATCTCAGTATTTCATTCATTTCCTGCATACAATTCTGTTTCTGTTCCCTCACACTCCCCTGTCAATAACTTTGTTCACACGGATAATGAGTGAGTCGATGCTGTCACAGAAAGAGACCCACGCTCTGTTCTCTCACAAGGAAGAATCTCAGCAGGAATAGAAAATCTGCTGAGAAACATTTAACTGCTAAGTTTATGATCATTTGGATTTTATTCTGTGATCTCAATTTTTTATTTCCTCAATTATAACTTGTAAAAAAAAACTTGAATTGAAAGACTGAAGACTCTATCAGTGTAAAATGTTAATTTAAGGACAGAGAATCTGGAATTCTTTTTAAAAATATGATTATGTTAGGCATGATTGAAACAGCAAAGTCTTACATTAATGTAAGATCACAACAGGTTAAGCAAAAATAAAAACATTTAAAATAACTAAAAGGGGTATTTTTTAATCTATGAAAGCTTAATATATGGGATAGAAGAGAG